AACTCATTTATTAGTTGTTAGTGACTATATGAGTAAATTTGTACTTCTTTTTCCCATAAGGACGGCGAATGCCAAAACTCTTGTCAAATGTATTGAAGATTCTGTATTTCTTGTGTATGGAGCTCCACAATTCCTTATTTGTGACAATGGCGTGCAGATGCGCAGTAGACTTTTCTTAGATCTGTGTGAAAGCTACCGTGTAAAGGTTCGGTTTACTCCTTTTTATCATCCACAGGCTGATCCTGCGGAGAGGGTGAATCGTGTGGTAAAGCAATTGATAGCCACTTACGTTAAGAACAATCACAAACATTGGGACGTTCATTTAGCTTCGATAGCTTGTGCTCTTCGAACTTCTAAGCACGAAACCATAGGTGTGACTCCCTATCGTGCTAATTTTGGGAAAGAATTTCGTATTCGAGGGGACAGCTTCGACACTGACATGACGGACAATGAGCCGATTGACGTAGAACAACGGTTAGCGCAACAGCAAGGACTGTACGACAAAATTATTGCACGCATTAAAGACAGTCATGACCGCAACAAACAACATTATGACTTACGACGTAGGCATGTTAACTATGAGATAGGAGATTTGGTTTGGCGTAAAAATAAGACTTTGTCTGATGCCACTAAAGATTATTCAGCGAAGTTAGCTCCCAGATTTTTAGGACCATTTACGGTTAGCCGTAAAATGGGGTATTTGACCTATGAGTTGAAAGATTCTAATGGTAAATCTTCTGGAACGTGGCACGTCCAGGATCTCAAACCTTATATTGAACCCGATGATCATGGTTAGACATTTATTGTCGCCGGATTGCTTGTTTGTTGACGATTTTGAACCACTAATTTTGACGTATTCTTATTCTTGGATTTGACTTTGATATATGTATTTATATGTTATATGTTCCATATTTCTTCTTCTTCTTACTCTTTGGGTGGTTTGGTTGGGCACAGGGGATGGACTCTCGGATCGTAGCAACAACACCTGCTAGGGGATTCGTCCCGATCCATTATCCTCCTTCTTTCTTTTTCTATCTGCACCTCAAACACTTTTCTTCTTCTAATTTCCTCAGGGGAAATTTGGGAGAGGTTGCCCTTTTCTTTTCGCTTTCCTATATTCTATCTTTTTCTACTCTTCTTTCTTCCATTTCCGTTCCATAGAATGAATGAATGTTTGAATGGATGGGTAGTTGACACACAAGAGGAAGGGGGTGGGTGCGCCTTCCCTGTGCGAGCCTCGGTGACCATGGGACCCCTGGAATCGGCATGAATGAGTTTTTTTTTCTCCGCAAATGTGATTTCTTCTTTCTCTCTTACTGTCTTCTATCCATAGCACCTTCTTCATTTCATTACGCTAGTGCATGGTGGAGTTGGGTTGGAAAGGTACCTTCTTTTTGGGGGGTTTCCTTCTACACTTTTTCGGCAAGGGGGTCAAAATTTGGGCTTTTGTGTCGTTTTTAGTCAGGGAGGGGGGTTTCTTTATTTTGGGGATTTTGGTGCTGCATCACTTGAAACTGTAGGGTTTCTTTCTTCTGGGTGGGCACTGGATTTGGTTTTCTTGGGGGTGACTAGTAGTTGGATTGGGTTGTGGGAAAGGGGTTGCTATTGTCATGATACCCGACGGCGCGAGATTCCATCTTTACGCGAGGGCATGTCAATACCCGATTTTGCATACCTTTTCCGCTGCTGGAGAACCTGGGAAAATTCTTTGAAGGTGAAATTCTTTGGGGGGGAGTTTTTTTTACACTGGGGTGGGTTTTCGGGTTTTCAATTTGTTTGCTTCCTTTTCGAGTGTGTGTGCTGGGTTTTTCGATCGTCGGAAAACTTGTAGTTTCCCTCCTGTCGAAGGAGAGGGGGGGTGTAACAGTTTAGTTTATTTATATTCAAATTTCAAAATTACCGCTTGCTACGTTAGGCAGGATATAGGTGAGATGGCGTCACTTGTACGCGTGCTTCTTTCCTCGCGCAGAATCGCGTAATTTTTTCACTTCATTTCCGTTTTAAAGCCAACGAGGTTGTACTTGTAGAGCGTGGCATTGTGAATTCTTCTAAAACCAGTGGGTAATATTTGCCATCATTCACGTAAAATCTCTGGCAATTTTACCTGTTTATTGGCGTTGTCGAGTAGAGTAACTCAGAAGCCGTTTTCTCCGTTGTGAGGCTATATCTGGTGGAAGTTCATCGCCCTACCTACATGTAAGTGAAATGGCGTTGGTTTTCTTTTACGTTATGTTATCTAAAATTCTTTCAGATTCACAACCTCTTGGATAATTTCCATATTTCATTGATTTAAGTATTTTTCATTACCCTCCTGACGATTTCAGGTATGTTATTAAAAATCTCGTTAGGGAGTGTTACATCTTCATTACTTTTAGGGGGTCCATGTAGTAGATCAATCCATGTAGTAGATCAATCCATGTAGTAGATCCGATCAATCCATGTAGTAGATGAATTCTTGTACCGATCAATCCATGTAGTAGATGAATTCTTGTACCGATCAATCCATGTAGTAGACCAATCCTTGTACAGACGAATCCTTGTATGTAAATGAATTTGCATCTTGCGAATATTCCGGAGTACGAACACCTGATTGCCGGCAGCTATCCGGCGTACCACCGAGTAGATAAGCGTTAACACCTAAACGATACCGGGAGCGACCAGCTGATGGTGGAATTTTCGGAAGATACGATCTTTTACACAACCTTTTTTTTATTTGCTTTAATAGTACCGTTAATCTAGTGTAACCTTCCGACGATTTATGATCGGAGCTTTGTATTTTGTTCGCATCAAGTGTTTGAGGTCGTGACTCTCTTCAAGAGCAACGCACCTGTATTTAACGTATGGGTAAACGAGCCGGCTACGAGTAAGCTTTTTTTTTTGGCCCTTCTGGCTCATATAATCGTTCCGAGCGTTGTAGCTTGGGGTTTGTTTTTGTGTTACAGAACTGGAACTTCGAAGGAGAGCTCTTTTTCGGAGAAGACAGCGTATGTGTTATTCAAGGTAAGATTTTTAATTTACTTGTACCCAGTGTTGCCTATATGAGTTGTTATTCGGGTTAACTTAATTCAATCTTTGAATCCATTGAAATCTTAACTACATTTTTGCTCGATCATTGTTGTAGGGGGCTGGTAACGTAATTATTAGGGAAGTGTTCAGGAATTTATTTGGGGATTATTTTTGTCATTTAAAGTATTTGTTATTGTCGTATTGAAGATACATTTTATTTGCCGATCCTGCACCGTTTTGTCAGGATTAATAAATCAGAATTGCTCGTAGTGAATTTATTATTTGGCTCTCTTGTGTTTTCCCAATTTCTATACAGGAGAGGTCAGAATTTGTGCAAAATTGGGTGGCGCTCAACTAATCATTTCTAGTGACTACCAAAGATCAAAAACTTATGTTATATGCCCAAACGAACAAACCGCTGTGGAAGATTCTCATCTCGAGCCCTTCTTTTAATTAAGAATCTGAGCTAGCTGGCCGTTTATGCGGCGGGGTTTGAGTTTTACAGCGCCGAACTAACCTCACGTTATAAAAGAACGGAAATTAAATTAAAAGGTTACAGTGGTGAAATTATTACTCCACTAGGTGTCGCGTCAATGACAATCACATGCTCAAACAATAGGCATCCAATAAATATTTTTGTAATTAAATATGGTGGACCACCAATTTTGGGACGTGATTGGTTTTGTAAAAATCAGCAAAATTTTAAAGTAATTAATAATGTGAACCTGTTTGGCGGCGACGTGGAGAAACTAATTTATAAATACCCTCAAGTATTTAATAATAAATTAGGCACTTTTACGGAAGCAGTGGTCGATTTAAAACTTAAAATAGGGACTGAACCCAAATTTTTTAAACCCCGTCCACTTCCCTTCTCGTTAAAAGAAAAGGTGGAACGCGAAATTAATAGGCTAGTGTCTGAAAACGTCCTATCTCCAATAGTCATGAGCGAATGGGGAACACCTATCGTCCCGGTATTGAAGAGAGATGGATCTGTCCGAATATGTGGTGATTATAAAATCACACTAAATCCATATTTGAAAAATGTGAGCTACCCTCTACCCAGAATCGAGGACTTATTTTCCAAATTAGCGGGTGGTAAATATTTTACCAAAATTGATTTAAGTTCGGCTTATCAACAAATTTTATTAAGCGAACAGGCCAAATCGTTATCAACCATAAGTACACACTTGGGTTTATTTGCGTATAACCGAATGCCGTATGGAATTAAAACAGCTCCATCCATTTTTCAATTAATAATGGAGAAAGTTTTAATTGGGTTGGAAGGCGTTACGTGTTTCCTTGACGATATCTTAATCGCGGGAAGAAATAAGGAAGAACATCTTCTTAGAATAGATTTGGTGCTTAATAAATTAGAGAAGTATGGATTAACAGTGCGAAGAGAAAAATGCAATTTTTTTCAAAAATCTGTTAATTACTTAGGGTTTGTAATAGATGAAGAAGGGCTCAGACCTTCTACTGAAAAGGTAGATGCATTACTAAAAGCTATACCTCCTAGAAATAAATCGGAATTAAAGTCAGTATTAGGAATGTTTAATTATTATCGTGCTTTTATTCCAAATTTTGCCAGTATGTGTGAACCACTTTATAGGTTGTTAAAAGACGAAAGTTCTTGGATTTGGAATAAAACCTGCGATCAAGCATTTGAGACTTTGAAGAAAACGATATCTTCTAAACATGTATTAGCACACTACGATTCTGCAGTTCCTGTAAAGTTGACAGTGGACGCTTCTTCAACCGCAGTGGGTGCAATTTTGACACACCGATACGAAAATGGAAAAGAAAGGCCAATAGCTGTTGCGTCTAAAATTTTGACAACCACTCAGAGGGCTTATTCTCAAATAGATAAAGAAGCTTATAGCATAATTTTTGGTGTATCTAAATTTACGCAGTACCTGTATGGTCGTCATTTTGTATTAGTCACCGATCATAAACCTCTTTTGTCGATTTTTGGGCCAAAGAAAGGTATTCCGATAATGGCAGCAAACCGTTTTCAACGATATGCTGTATTTTTGTCAGCGTTTGATTACACCATTGAATACGTTAAATCGGATAAAAATGTAGCAGATTGTTTATCTAGATTGATTGAGGACAATCAAACCGAGATGAACGACGATGACGAAAACTTTACCTACTTAAACTTAATAGAAAAACAAGATTTTTTTCGTCTTGATAAGAAATTTATTCAAGAGGAAACTAAGAACGACGAAATATTGCGAAAAGTATTCGAATTTGCGTCACAGGGTTGGCCAAGTGACTGCAAAGAAGAGGAACTGAAACCTTATTATATTAGGCGAGACCAAATTACAATAGAAGATAACCTATTGATGTGGGGACATCGGTTAATCATACCATCACGTTGCAGGAAAGAAGTTTTAAAAGAGATACATTCGACACACATGGGAATAGTTAAGAGTAAATCATTAACTAGATCATTTGTATGGTGGCCTTCGTGCGATAAAAACGTCGAAGAATTTTGCAAAAATTGTTTAGCTTGCTCTAAACACAGAAACAGTCCGCCGAAAGCTGAAGTGATTGAGTGGCCAAAAACTGAACAGCCGTGGGAAAGGGTGCATATTGATTTTTTTGGTCCACTGCATAATAAAATGTTCATGATTGTGGTAGATTCCCATTCGAAGTGGATAGAAGTTGTTTATATGAAGAACATTACTTCGGAAAATACAGTAGATAAGCTACGAGAAATATTTAGTCGGTGGGGATTGCCAAAGATCGTAGTAACTGATAACGGACGTTCATTCGTGTCGGAATGTTTCAAGCATTTTCTATATATGAATGGAATTCAGCATATTACACCACCACCATATCATCCTGCCACAAATGGGTTAGCAGAGGTTTCGGTACGTACTGTAAAAACTCATATATTAAGGGCCATGGAAGAAAGGAATTCCACAGATCTTTTTGCGGCATTAAACCGTTTCCTATTGCACTACAGGAACAGCATTCACAGTAGTACGGGTGTTACTCCAGCTGAACTCTTGATAGGAAGAAAGCTACGCATGCGATTGGATCTCATTTTACCGGAAGAGCAGCTGAAGCGACAGCATTTGCGTAAAGAGGAACGAGGGAGAGATCCGAAGAGACTAACAAGAAACAGTGCGGAAGTGAAACGTAATAAAGTGAGTGCGAGAGGCAATTTTAAAAAAGGTGATCGTGTTTTTGTGCGCGATTATCGACGTGCTAAACCGAGTTGGGTACCTACATGCGGTTATCAAATGTGCACGTGATGTACTCTTTCAGCATCAAGATAATGCGTTTGAAAGCTTTTAAAACTCTAAATTCATGTATAAAGTATAATTTTGGCTACATTTTGCTCTAAAACCTTCGACCTACACTACAGAGAAGAGTTATATTGAATTGTTACACATTTAAGAGTCATAGGGAATAATTTAACGAAAGAGCCCGCAGATTTTCCTGTTCCCGATTCACTCGAAGTCCTATAACTTTTGTTCCGGTTGAACCAGATTCCTGAAAATCAATAGTATCCGTCTTTAATGTCCAAAGTACCCGTACACCAAATTTCAACACAATCGGTCACTTTTAAAAAGAGTTAGAGCGCACACGGACGGACGGGCGATAATACAAAACTGTAAAGGATTTAAGGATGCTTCATAATTCAGTTTTACTTGTCCTTATTGTGTGCTTACTTGCAACATGGGAGTTTTTTCACTTTAATAAATGTTTTTGTTATTGTACATTTGTTAATGCTATTCTTTATAATGGATAACGACATGTATTGAAACATGTCAACCCTAACACAAAGTTTGAGCAGTTTGAGAGCGTTTCGGAAACGAAATCATTTCCTTTGTTTTCTAATACCAATACAATCTTTCAAAAGTTACCCTCATTTTACCTGTATAAGCTAAAGCATCTTGGTTTTGTTTAATGCATGATTGATGAAGTCTCACTAGAGGTACATTACGGAATCATTTCTTTTATTTTTTGACATCTTCTAAAAAGCACATTCTGTGTCGAAGGGGAAGGCTTAATGGAAAAACGAACAAAATGAAATTCAAATCAGTCTCAGCAACGCAGAGTTGTTTATTAAAAAGAGTGTAAATTCTAAATGTCCTACATAAACGACTATTTCACAGATGAGAAATTTTCGATCGTGTGGACAAGCATACTTAATGCCATTTAGTACTAGCGGTATAACGGAAATTCTTGAAAGATACTGCATTTTTTTTATACCAAGGTGCCACTTGGTACAGTTGTTCCTTACAGCCATTTAAACGATTTGACCCGAAGAACACATGACATTTTCCGTGTGGGTAGATTTTAGAGGGGGTGGGGGTGATTTATTGTAACATTTTTTTAAAAACTAAATATGGCCTAGAGACGAGATCTGGGTATCGATTTCGTATGATTTTAACCCGAGGAATCCAATGGTAGCGCCAGAAATGTAATCCGGATACAGGAAGTCCATGAAAAACCGCCATTTTTAGAAAATGACAGACTTTTGATCGAATTATATTTTTAAGGCACACCGGGTCGTGTAAGGTGTCTAGACTTATTGTTTTGGGGTCAAGGAATTCATTTATCATAACAAATATAACCTACTGGCATCGAAACTGCATGAGAGGCTTCCCTACTGCACTTTTTGAAGTCGTCGCACGCGGTGAAACCCAAGATATTCCAAAGTTTTAATACCTATATAAACTTATATTATTTTATTTAATAAAAATACATATTAACAAAAAACATAAGATATATTAAAACATGGGGTAAAAAATGTATAAACCTATGAAGAATCACCAAGTACATCGCTGACCTCTGGAGATTATGCGTTATCATCACTGAAAAGGAATTTTACATATAAATATTAAAGGTTCGGTAGTAAATTATATCGAAAGTATACAATATTCTTACCCTTTGTTTGAGCAATCTCCCATACATTTTTGGCATGCAGGGGAACATGGTAATCCGTGTCGCCGCAGCACGAGTTGGAGGAGTACATAAGGAGGGCGGCGTCTGGCCATATCTGGGGATGTGCAAACCAGGTGATGAGAAGCTCTACAAGTCCAGAAGGATGGGGATGGACTCTTGAAGCCAAAGGCAGGAAGGTTCTGTAGTCCAAGCTGCCACATGTATGGAAGGCAGTCCATGCTCTGGACAGGTATGGCTGCGAGACCCTCGGTGCAGCTGCCGGCGACACGGATTGCCATGTTCCCCTGCATGCCAAAAATTTATGGGAGATTGCTCAAACAAAGGGTAAGAATATTGTATACTTTCGCATATACCTAATTTACTACCGAACCTTTAATATTTATACCGGGGGAATATTCCCAAAACGAACATAGGGAATTAACATGGGAAAAGGGGTTTTTGTAGATAGTTGCTCCCCATGTTAACTTAGAGGGTTGATCATAACACCAATCGAAAGATTTTTTTCCTCGTCTACTGATATACGAATTAGTTCATTTTCATGTATATTTCTCACTATATTATAAAAAACTCGAGAAATCCACTTACCAAAATCATGTTTAGCCATGACTAAGACAAAAAGCAGATTCAAACGTCGAAATCAATATCAGTTTATGACACCTGGCAATAATTTTTTTGTAAAATGCGGTTCACTGAGGAAAAAGTATTTATAATAAACAACGTTTACAGCGAAAATATTTACTCTAGTACGCGATATTTGTTTTCCGTGCATGTGAAAACCTATATTTCAATTAGTTAGGAAATTTCCATGGCTTAACATGATTTTGCTAATTGGATTTATTGCCGAATTTTTGATAAAATAATGAGAAATACACCTGAAAATAAGCTAATTCGTATATCATTAGATGAGAAAAAAAACTTCTTTTGATTGGTGTCATTACAAACCCTCTAAGTTAACATGGGGAGCAACGATCGGCAAAAAAACGTTTTTCGCATGTTAATTTCCTACGTTTGGTTTTAAAATATTCACCCGGTATGTGAAATTCCTTTTCATTGGTGATAACGCAATCTCAGAGGAGGTCAGCGATGTACTTGGTGATTCTTCATAGAATATTCTTCAATTTTTTTACCCCATGTTTTAATATATTTTATGTTTTGTTAATGTGTATTTTTATTAAATAAAATATTACAAGTTTATATAGGTATTAAACTTTGGAATATCTTGGGTTTCACCGCGTGCGACGTCTTCAAAAGTGCAGTAGGGAAGCCTCTCATGCAGTTCCGATGCCAGTAGGTTATTTTTGTTATCATAAATGAATTCCCTGACCCCAAAAACATAACTCTAGACACCTTACACGACCCGGTGTGCCTTAGAAATATAATTCGATCAAAAGTCTGTCATTTTCCAAAAATGGCGGCTTTTCACGGACTTCCTGTATCCGGATTAGATTTCTGGCGCTACCATTGGATTCCTCGGGTTAAAATCATACGAAATCGACACCCAGATCTCGTCTCTAGGCCATATTTAGTTTTGAAAATTTTTTACAATAAATCACCCCCACCCCCTCTAAAATCTACCCACACGGAAAATGTCAAGTGTTCTTCGGGCCAAATCATCTAAATGGCTCTAAGGAACAGCTGTACCAAGTGGCACCTTGGTATAAGAAAATGCAGTATCTTTTGGTATACCGCTAGTACTAATTACGCTAGAAGCAGTTGCGGAGAATAGTTTGTTCCATAATTTTCTGTTAAACATAAATGCGTGTAATACCAACGGCCTGCATTTTTATTATGTTTATGCAAAAGCAAAAAATAACACCGTGTCAACAAATACGAGTGATTCGTCACGGTGGCGGTCGCCGGCCACAACCTATTGTACACGCAGGTGGCTGAAACATAAATTATGGTCGATGTACCTGAGATTTCGTCATATCCTTCCGGCATAAAAAAACACAATGAGTTTGTATTCCAAAATATAGGATGTAGATACTCGCAGAACATTAGCAAGATATTCTCAGCGTGTGATGGTGTTAGTTGCCCGTATCACATTTGATTCCTAGAAATTGACAAATGGCCACCTACCTATAATAGTAATTATCTACAAACTAGCAAAAACAAAAGAATGTTGCGGGTTTAGAGAAGGCAACGGACGCGGCACAAAAAATTGTAGGGTTTGACGACTTTAACTCATGCGTTTAATCTTGCCAATTTTGTCATAGAGTAGGTAGACGTGGATTGTGAAAATAGAAATTACCTACAAGAAAAATTAATAATAACTGTATTGAGGGTGTCAATGAAATTAACTAGGTTGGCCGTTGGAATAATAACCCAATTCCTCAAGAGGAAGTTTACAAAAGTACAAACAGGATGGTGGTATAATATGCAGTCGTTTATGTATTGGGAGTATATATTTATTAAAATTTATTTATTATTAATTTTGCTTTATATATCATTGAAATTAGGTAAAATTTTCGTAAAAGAGAAACTCTAATTTCTCCACTAGAGCGCACTGGAAAAACAGCGAGTAGCGATATCTTGTCTTTCAGCGAAAACGTAAAATCTCCCATTCAATTCAAAAATTTAATGTATTATTTTAAAAAAAACTTCTATCCAAGGAACTGTAGCGGTTTGCGGGAAAATGTTCCACGATTTTCCAAACCAAATAGTGAAATGCATTTACCTATTTATTTATTTATTTATTTATTTGTTTATTTATTCATTTATTTATTTATTTTATTGTCCGTCTTGTTCTGCGCCCCAAATTACAGAGTGACCCGCATAATGCTTTTTAGAGATGTCCCGGCAGAACGTCTTCAGTTGTTCTGTACTACTCCGGTATTTACCTTACGAATTATGAAAACTGCAGGAAAACCTACTTCGAAGGATGCTGTAATTTCTGTGTTGCTCCAAGTTTGGTTGGAAAATAAATACACACATAAGCACTATATCCACAAGCTCGATGTTTTATATTTAGGTGCGCTGTCTAGATTCCTCCTTGCGAAAAGCATTAAAGGTGGTAACATTCGCTTGGTCTATGAAATAATATTTCACCTTTAACCAAAAATAGCGAAAAATAATAATATATTACTACGTAAATAATGTCAATGTAGACGTTGATATTTGATCCAGACGCCTGAATTAATGTTTTATTTTTAAATGATTTAATTAGTCTGGTTGGGATCTTTACGTATAAACACAAAACCAGCATTGCGTTTCCAGTTGTATCCAAGTGCTTTGTTTTTCCTTGTAAAAGTTTATTTCCAGAATTGTTAAATGTA